CTTGATTTCATTGACTGCAATGCGATCTTGGACCCACTGGATGGCGACGGTCACATCGACAAGGGTAGGTCTCCGGGACGCCGGCCAGAGGCAAGGGGCTCGCAGCCTAGCCAATCGGTTCCAAACACGGACAAAAGTACGATGTTGAATCCATTTTCGGTTGGCACCAGTGAGATTTTGTGAAAGGAAAATCTCAATTTCTCGGAGTCCCCCAAGGGCATTGTACAGCCAAGAACAGTAAAGTGTGGTGGCTGGTCCAGGCTTGAGCTGACCGGGGCACACTCGCTTGGGTCGAAACTGGATGGGTTGACCTCGAGTTTGGGGACCAGGTCCCCAGGAAGCGCCTTGATCAAGCATGGTTTGAATGCAGGCCGTGTTGACTTTTTCCCAACAAACTTCAATATCATCTTGTGGAGACCATGGCACGGAGTTACTCTGTGCGGTTTCAAGGTCAGGTCGAAAGCCCTGCATGTTGAAAGGGGCAGTCTTGAACAACGTGAAACCGGTTTGCCAAATACGCTCCCATGACATGGTAAGTCGAATAGGACGGTGTTGGACTTTGAAGTAGGCGAGGACCTCGGCATCAACAATCGCCGAGGATGCAACACGGTTGGTAAGAATGGCGTCAATGCTCGAACATCCATCCCCAAAACCCGGAAAGGTGCCATTGGCCGAGAACGTGATTGGTCTATTTGGGGATTGATCAGTGTGCTGATCAATGGGGTCACTCCATTGATGAAAGTTGATGGCATTGGCCACAGCTTCGTACTGAAGGGGTTCAGTTTGGAAATCCCCTGCGATCAGGACAGGAATGTCCCCAACTGACTAACAATCACAAAAATATCCGAAAGCATTTCATTGTTTGCACGGAGAACATCTTTGTCCTGACTGGCAGCAGTTTTACAATAGATATTGAAGACCAGGGCTTTGAGCGAAGCGGTGATCTGCACCCACACAGCTTGGACCCTCTTGGTGTGGAAAAGACGTTCATACTTCCCGGAGGCATCCTCTTTGACAGAAAAAGGGATGGTGGTTTCTGCTGGTGCAGCAATTCCGACACCGCCGTGAGGGGTGCGCAGAACACCGTTGGAAGCAAAAAGACCCGGAAGCAAGGCACCAGGAAACAAGGACTTCCCCATTTGTGCAACAACATGCTTAGCAGGCTTAGCATTGTTAATGCAGTTCTTCCCAATGCGAGTTTCTTGAAGGCAGGTGATGGCGGAATCCCACGTTTTCCAACAAGTTGCAGTCCTGATGGAACCAATGTTTGCCGAAAAAATTGACCATGGATGGCAATGTGTGGGGCCTTCACCAGGGTAGCCTAGTGTTGAATCAAAGGCAAGGACCCGATGATAGTAGTGCGAAAAAGCAAGCTGCAAAATGCAGACACATGTGGAACAACCACTCAAACCCTTGAGGTGAGAGTGGAAAACGCGAAGAAAAAAGCGATCGAGCTGCTCGCAATGTGAGCAGGCGCAATGTTTTCGACAGTGAGCGGTCGGTCTGTTGAAAGAGCTGCTGACACATCCCCAAGGTGAATTAGAATATGGGACTTTTCCGGCAGGGCAAAGCGGGAGCAGACGTGCTCTGCAGGGCGAGTCCAGCCCACGGACGCATGAACATACGAAAACCAGAAAACCAAAGACGAAGCACTTGAGAAGCGTCAAGGGGCGAAGCATTAGCGGAGCTCGATTCAGCTCGCAAGACAGAAAGATGGAGAAAATCCAAGAGAGAGCCGGCAACAAACGACATTGATGAGCCCACGGCAGCATGCCCAATGCCAGACAAGGCAGAGAACCACAACTGAAGGACCACAAATCGACAACGAAGAGCCTTTGCCGGAGAGAGGCAAGAGGGCAGGCTGCCCCGAGCTTTCACAGTGTTCGCTGTGTTTTGGGTGGAGGTGACTCACCCGTAGGTTCATGTGCTCGGTTGGTGCTGAGTTGCACCAATTGGCGTAATGTGTCGCCAATGTCATTGAAGCGCTGGTCGAGCTTGCTCTCGAGGTTCGTTTGCTTGTGTTCAATGCCGCAAACTTGCTTTTGGAGTGTCTCGAACTTGTTCTCGAGATGATCCAGGCGCTTCTTGTCGTGTTGTGCTGCTACGGCTGCGATGGATGTGACAGCAGGAGGGAATGGTTCGTCCTCCTTGGTGGCTGTCTTCTTGGGGTTCCGGTTTTTCCCTTTTCCGCCACCTTTGGTCGTAGGTGGAGTGGGCGTCAGCAAGATCTGGTGAAGGGCACCGTTGATCTTGACCGTAAAGGTCAGAACAGTAGGCATTGTTTGGAAGTTGAATTGCCACGTATGGACTCCAGCTGCTCTGAACGTTCGTGTAGGAATCGGAGCTTGGCTAACAGCTTTTGCGACTGTTTCAATGACGTCCGTGGGACTGGCACCAGGAGGCCATCCTGAAGCATCCACCAAAAATCGAGGCACCACCTTGATGTTGGTGTCATTGAGGCGAGCATCCATAGGCAGAAGTTTCCGCCGAACTTCAGCAATTTCACTGGACCATGCACGAACGGCTAAGCCGCGTCTTGTGAGGATTGCTCCAGCGGCACCCTTGACACCCTCAATGCTGATGGAAAGCTCACGAAGGCCTTTCAAGCTGATCTCCCAAAATTTGGGAATGACAGAAGTGTCGAGAGGTTGAGCACCTTGGTCCAAGAAATCCCTGATCAGGATGCCTTGAAGGCCACTGCCGGACAAAAGCTTGCATCTGGCCGCGGATGGAAGTTTTGCAATCACCTGCAATTGGTCGTCGTCCCGAGATGAGGAGGGGTGGCGGTTGTGCCTGAAGCCGTACACGGACGTTAAGGCAGCATGGTCTGGAGCCGCGGTGGAGAGGTACTGCTTGAAGTAGAGAATCGGATTCTCTTTGGCTTGCTCAAATTCACTCTTCTGAACCAATCGTGAATCCAACTCGAGCACTAACTCAGCGACTTCTGACATGGTGAATTCGTGTGTTGGTTCGCACAGCTTGAATTGGAATTCACCAAAAAGGGCGACTGCTGACACAACTCTTTTGTAGGACGTCTTGGTGGCACGGTCCTCCAGCACAACCTCGAAGGGGCCGTGGAAGTTAAGGTTGCTGCCGGCTTTTGTTTGCTGATCCACAAGAGGCAGGATCGCAATGAGAGGTTGCTTGGGTCCGAGTTTCAAAAGCTCCGGCAAGTGTTGCTTGGTCGTCAGCACCACTCCCTTCGTGGTGGTGGAAGTCTGAAGTCTGTGGTACTGTGCCAATTGCTCTCCTTTGCTGTCTTGAAACGGGTGATGGTCCTCCAACTTGAGGTCCTCCCATCGCGAAGAGGCGGCTGCGGCTTTCGCCCAAGGATCGTGGACAAGCAGAGGATCTGTACCTGATCGTTGACTGTTCTTGGCCTTGGCAGCGGCCTTGGCTTCTCCACCTCCTCCTGGTGCTTGGTCATTTGGAAAGCGGCCCTGAAGAACTTGAAGCACGGGAGGAGTCTCATGGCAAAGAGGGCAGCTTGGTGTAAGACCGGCTGTTGCCAAGCAGCAGCGGCATTGGTGAGCACACGTTGGACCTCAGCATGGTGGATGCTTCGCAGGAAATGTGCTTCCTGGACCGGACCAGGGTAGTGAATCTGAACTCCAACCTTTTGAAAGCACAACCAAAGCAAAGTCCAGCCACACAGGTTTGGATCCGCTTGAAAGTCACGAAAAACGATGTGCGGAACGGGGTCAATCCCGAGGTGCTCACAAATGGCAGTAGCACAAGCAATCGAGTGAGAATGACAAGCTGTCGAGGCAAATCTTCAACTGAAAATGGCAAGGTGGGAGACACGGTTGCATCACGCGAAGAGTCAGGACAGACAGACTGTGCCGAAAGCGTGCGGAGCAAAACCAAAGGATGTTGCCAAATGGAACACAAAATCTCAGGCGATCTTGCGAAGGCCTCAACCACAGGAATGTCTCGAAGAGCTCACTGATCCTTAGTGCAAAAGCGCAAGGCATCAGGGTTAATCCCTTTCGTGAACATGGTAAGGATGACCGTGGTGGTCAGACTGGCTTTGGGTGGGACTTTGGCTTTCCACACATTAAGCGAAGTGACATGCTCAAGCTCAAGCGACAACATAGGCCCATCAAAGGACATTGGCAAGGTGCGAGGTAGCATGGTTGCAGCGATGTCTTCAACCTTCATGACAGTCAACCATTGATCAAAGACTTGAACAAGGGCCGTCTGACTGGTGAGTCGTTGGTCCCAGGCCTGTCGAACAAGGTGGGCTGGTGCAAAATCAACCGCAAACAAGCTTTGAAGTCCAACGGCCAAACACAAGGTGGCTTGTGACTGTGAGATGGCATTGCCTAAAATGTGGAAGGCAAACGAAGCATCGCTCGGCAACACAATCTTGTCGGTAGTGCCAAACAAAGGGACAAATCTAGTCGGACACAGAAAGCACACCTTGTCATTAACAATTTGCAAGGAGGCAAAAATGCCTTTGGACATGATGTGATCTACATGAAGCAAATGCTGTCGAGTGTACGAAGAGCACAACGTCGGCAAGGCTTGGTGTGTGTCAGCGAGACGGTGCTTGATTGTCTCCGCTGGATTCAAGTCACTGCTTGACCTGGCTCGCTTGGCTGGCGGAAGCAACCCTGGATTGCCATATTTCTGCAAGGCATCGGCGTCCAATTGGAGTTGGTCGGAAAAGGATTCCGGGGTCCAAAACTCATTCAATGGGTCGTGCCACATGACCAAGGGAGGTGCTCTAAGGTCAAACTTGGTTCCGTGTGGAGCAATGTCCAAATCAGCCCTGGCCCAAACAGCTAACCAGCGAGTTCGCTGGTTGTTGGAAAGGGTATGTTGAGACACCACTTGGTCCCAAACTTTCCTGTACCCGATGATGCTCAGCATGCATTCCACCAAGGGGAAGTGATCGTGCGAAATGGTGGTGTCAGCACCTTCGAGGAAAATCAAGAGTGGCTGCTGTATTTCTACAATCTTGGCTGTTTCAGCCATTGCAAAACCTTCACAACAGTTCAAGCCAAGTTTTCTGCCACCTTGCGACCACGAAATGCATGGTGGAGAGGCAGTGGTGATGGCGTTCTTCTCAAAAGGCCAGCAGTGTAGCAGCTGCCTGCTTTCGAGGCAAGATCAATTGGAGTCTTGCTGGTCATCTTGCCGTGATGATGCCTCATGCCAGTTTGGCAAGACCAAACACCCATGATCTTGGGATCATTGTCAATGAACAACTCTGTTGCAACTTCAACCTGATCCAAAGTCTTTGCAAGCCAATGGACAGCACGCGACCATCCGCTGTACGCTCCAGCAAATAGGTGTAGCAAATGAAAAGGCTCTTCAGGTCGCCAACACGAGCGGTGCACAATCAGAGTGTCATCACCAAATGCCAATGCTTCCCAACTCGCATCATGAACTTGCGGCCCAAAGCAAACAATGTGGTCGTCCACTTTGAGAGCAATGCTTCGCTTGCTAAGGTCAGGCACCAACAACCTCATGGCTTTCACCTCAGGATTGGCAGCGGCAAAACCAGAACCTGGGCGAAACTCAAATGGGGAGAGCACGAGGTAGGACTCATATAGATCTCTTCAATGCGTCCAGCAATGAGCACCTTGCCATCAACCCTGAGGAGATGACCTGCAGCTCGGTGCTCAGCCAGAAAATCGCAGAACATCCCCCTCCAGGGCTCAATGAGCAGACGATCGGCCGTCTGCTTCCAGCGGTCAATGGAGGCTGCCATGGCGCACAAGGTCGAGATGTACCACCGAGGTCACGAGCGGGTCGGTCAGTGACCTTGATGGACACTCGACCTTCACCGGGAGGTGAACAGCCGAGCCGCGGGAACCCGGAGTGCCCTAAGGCAAAGAGCTTTGGGCCCAGATGCCTGAACTGTAGATCCTCTTCATATGGGTTGTTTGATCAATCAAGAGTCTTAGGGCTAGGGATCCACAGACCTTCTCAGTAGTACTTGGACCCGCCTGGCACCTACATAAAACATCATAAAACTGTCTCCGATCACCCTGCAGGCCCAGATGTAGAAAGTCCTTGAAGAAATCACAATCCCTTCCATCAAGGGAGCAACGTCCAGCTCTTCCATTGTTCAGGACATGAAACCGAGAGCGATGCATCTCAGCGTTTGTCGGGATGGCTCCCCTTGTGGTTTGAGCCCGGCGTCACTCGGGCGTCACTGGTTGTATTTAGACCATTGAAAGCAAATGTGACTTAGATCTTGAGGGGAAGATGTGTTCTCGATTTTTCCAAACCAACACACCAAGCATCAATTGTTTCAGTGTTCTTTCTCCTTGTGTTCCAGCTTTGGAGACGTCCAGAAACTGGATGACCCACCCAAAGGTCATCAAAGGCCCATCACATTTGGAAAAGGACATGTGCTGCGTGTCGCCCTCAATATGTGATGTGTTCATCATTGTTCATCTATCCATCCCTCATCATTCCCCCATTCTTCCCACCTTTGCAAGCAAGACCTGAACAATCTCTTGAATTCGTGCGCTCTGCATCTCATTGAGTGTATCAACGCCGGAGGCGTTGTTCTTTTGTGACGTCACGACTATAACCGTCCAATACTTCAAACCACGATCCAAACACCGGAGCAGCTCCCGGTCCTTCGCGTCCCGAGGCACCAGTCGTGATGGAGTGGTGGTGTCCAACGCCCCATGGCCCGGCAGTTTGGACTCCTTCAGCCGTGCGCGGAACTACGATGGTGCGACTCCGAGGGGTCTGGGGGGGGGGGGGAGTCGTGGTGAAACGCCGGACGGATGAGATGAGGAGGAGTTTGGTGTGATGGAGTGAAGATGAAGAAATGAAGTTTGATATACAATACCCAGACGCTCCATGGGACTGGCATATTTATATACATATATTGGGGATCATTGGGGGGGTTTTAGGGGTCAATGGGGCGGCATATATGGCAGTCCGATGGAGCGTTTGGGATATACAAAGCTCGCCGAGTCCCAGTTGGATCCTGAGATTGGAAGGGTGACTTCTTTTTTGACCCCATAAAAATGCTTCGAATGTAATAAGAAACTATTTCATACTTGTACATGGCGAACGGTGAGTAGCAGTGGATGAATACATTCCATACTTGTACATGGCGAAGGGTGAGTAGCAGGGGATGAATACATTCCATACTTGTACATGGCGAACGGTGAGTAGGAGTAGTAGTAGTAGTAGTAGTAGTAGTAGTAGTCGTAGTAGTAGTAGTAGTAGTAGTAGGAGTAGTAATATGTACTATGCTTGCTGTCTCAAGTCTCTTTGCAAACAGCTGCGCCAACAGATATGGAAATGCATCCGACCCCAGTCACTCTGGCATATCTTCGAACTGATTGCTCCCACACTATGGTGTTTTGTGGTTCTCGATTTTGCTTGGGTCCTCCGGTTGTGTGTTGTGGTTGTGTTGTGATAGTTGGTTTTGTGTTTGTGGTTGTGATCGTGGCTGTGTTTTTGTGGTTGTGTTTGTGGGTCTTTGTGGTTGTGTGTTGTGGTTGTGTTTGTGGTTGTGTGTTTGTGGTTGTGTGTTTGTGGTTGTGTGTTTGTGGATGTGTGTTTGTGGTTGCGTGTTTGTTGTTGTGTTTGTCGTTGTGTGGTTGTTGTTTTGTTTGTGGTTGTGTCTTTCTGGTTATTGTGTTTGTGATTGTGTGTTTGTTGTTGTGTTTTTGGTTGTGTGTTTGTTGTTTTGTTTGTGGTTGTGCTTTTCTGGTTATTGTGTTTTTGTGGTTCTGTCTTTCTGGTTATTGTGTTTTTGTGGCTCTGTCTTTCTGGCTGTGTTTGTGGTTATGTGTTTGTGGTTGTGTGTTTGTGGGCGAGGTCCGGCAGGGAACACTGGGCGTGGATGGTCGTGGTTGAGGTCCGGCCGGGAACACTGGGTGCGGATGGTCGTGGTTGAGGTCCGGCAGGCAACACTGGGCGCGGATGGTCGGGGTTGAGGTCCGGCGGGGAACACTGGGCGTGGATGGTCGTGGTTGGGGTCTGGCGGGGAACACTGGGTCGTGGTTGAGGTCCGGCAGGGAACACTGGGCGTGGACGGTCGTGGTTGAGGTCCGGCAGGGAACACTGGGCGCGGATGGTCGTGGTTGAGGTCCGGCAGGGAACACTGGGCGTGGATGGTCGTGGTTGGGGTCTGGCGGGGAACACTGGGTCGTGGTTGAGGTCCGGCAGGGAACACTGGGCGTGGATGGTCGTGGTTGAGGTCTGGCAGGGAACACTGGGCGTAGATGGTCGTGGTTGAGGTCCGGCGGGGGACGAGGAGGACAAGGAGAAGAAGGAGAAGAAGGAGAAGGAGGAGAAGGAGGAGGAGGAGAAGGAGGAGAAGGAGGAGGAGATAGGGCGGACACAAAATCTAACAACCCTCACCTGACAGGTGGGGAAAGAGAATTCGAAGAGCACACAAAGAGGATACGTGAGATGGAAGCTGTGAACTTGGGGTGGCTCCAAGGAGAGACCCCTTCGACTGCGCCTAAGTAAGGGCTCATTTTGAACCCGATCGCGCTCACCCCTCCCCCCGAGTGGTTGTGCAAAGGCATCGGAAAGCAAAAAAGAAAGTACATCGGCCATTTTAATACACCTCTGGAAGCTGAAAACAAGATGTACAAAGCCTTGGAAGAGTCCAAGGCATCAAAAAAAAGAAAAAGCATATAGACACTTATCAAATGTATTTGTCGTCACACGTTGGCGCAGAGGACGAGGACCCTCCACAAAGTGAATCCCACCCGAAGCCTGGGCGGTGCGTTCATCGCTCACTGTCACCGCACACCCCGTGGTACGTTTGGTTTGACAATGTCAGATTCGACGAGCTGTGCCAGCAATTGGCCGCCGTCGTAATGTGTATGGATTTAACGAAGGGAGACCATGGTACATGATCTACTAGATACTTTGTGAATTGCATATATGTCGAACTTCTGGTTGTGAACAGACCAACCAGGGCTGGATCTAGCTCAAGAGATGAAAGCTGGGATTGTTGCCCAGCTGGGCCAGTTGAAGGCATTACTCACTGTGTGGAGATCTGTATGTATATATATATAGGTTTGCGCGTGCAGGTTCCCCTTGCAAGCGCCGGCTTCTAGATACAATTGACAAGGTGTACCCCCACAAGCGAGAATCGCTTGGCGTGCAGCTTCAATGGGCTCAAGATCTGATAACCTCATGGAGTGAAATGGATCACTCGCAAGGCAAGAAGTGCACTGTTGCAAGTAGTAGGCTGAAAGCCGCATGTATTGTTTGAGAAGGCGAGACATTGCCGCGACGAGCGGTGAAATCGCCGAGAACACCCTCTTCGTCTTCAGCTTCATCAGAAGCCAGCCCAGAATATGCCACAAGCGACGAAGATGAAAATTGAGCCCGCAAGGGGGCTTGTGGTGGACCGAGGGGTGTCGTCATATAATAAGAGAACTACACTCTCTAACTCAATTGCAAACAGAAGAATTTCTTTGGACTCATCCAGTTCAGCTGATGTTAACCTAAGTGGTTGTTTGGTGTTGTGTTCGGTTCTCTTTTGGTTTTGCTTTCTGGTGGTGTGTGCTTGCGTCAATGCGATGCGAGCGCCCCACCATGTCTACGCACACGCATCCATGTTGGTTGTCTGGCCTAGCTTGTGATTTGCGCTCTCAGAATTCCTGGCTGTTCTCGGGGAAATAAAGCATGTCCTCAAAAGGCCAGAAGGACTTGCTTTGGCAACTGCGCACGCTTCTGAACTGGGCGGGCATCGTTGCCTACATACAGCGCCTGTTTTCGAAGAAGAAGAGCTCTGGTGACAAGGGGCTGTATTCCCTTTTCAGCGATCTCCTCCCAACCACCATTAAGCGCATTAAGTTGGTGGAAGGGGAGGAGTCCCACCAGACCTTGGCAAAATGCACGCTGAATTCGAAAGCTCGCTGCTGAAGTTCAACGCGGCATGGTCTGAATTCCAGGGAAAGAACGAAGAATCTGCCATCAAGCAGCTTGCACAACGTGAACAGCTCTCCATGACAATCAATCAGGCGCTCGAAGAGAAGGAAAAACTGCTTGAAGAGGTCAACGACTTTGTCTGTGATGATGACATGGATGAAGCTGAGAAAATTTTGGGCACAGAGACCATCCTCTTCGAAAAAATGAGAGAGACTGGAAAAGAGATGGTCAAGAACATGGATGAAATCAGTGCCCTTAAAGACAAGAAAACTGTCTTCGCCGCTAAGGAAAAACACCGAGAAACTGGAAAGTGAGAAAAAATATGTCAAAGAATGCCTCGAGGAGACGAAGACCCAGCTGGATGCAAAGGAGGAAAAGAAAAAGGAGGTGCTCACGAAACTCAGGAGTGATGGGACCCATTGGGATGAACGAGGGCCACCCATTGGTTCTTGGATTTTCCGCCTGGAAAGGGGTGTGTTCGTTTTTTTTCCTGTTCCAAAAGCGAACTCGGGGATCCACTATCCGTACGATTTGCAGTGGTGCAGATTGATTGACCATCAATCGGCTGTGTTCTCTCCATCCAACAAAATCAGACCCAGCATATATATATATATACGATTATATACGTATATATAAATATATTTGCTGTATATATATATATATATCATTATATATCCATCCAGTACTAAAGCTGGTGAACAGAGGTTCCAAAGACTACAACCGAACGAAACCTTGGTTCCCCATATATCGTGGTAACTGAGATCCATTGGGAGAAATTACATGAAATTCCATAATCCATGACAGATTGCTCAGTTGGTCTTCCAAAAAGACTCTTCGAAAGGT